AAACCACTACTTAAAGTAAAAGATTTTGATTTGAATGAAATGTTGGTATTATATACCAACAACATACATCGAATAACAACTACTTAAGATGTAATATGTAATAATGCTGGTATATTGGTATTACATACCAATCTCACACATTGTTATACAATCTATACCAATCACACACAAATTCTGTTGAAATGTTCTATTATAAATCAAACTCGGAGTCCTATTCATGGCGAAACTATGGTGAATCGGATGGTATAGATATGAACTGTAGTGAAAATTGTTCAACAAAGAATGTGGAAAGAAGAAGATGGAAGGGTTAAAAAATTTTAACAGAAGAATATGGAAGGCTTACACATTTGGTAGAAAAGAAAAATTGTAAAATTTTCCTAGGAACTATAACTCTCCTATTGATAACAACACCAATTTTATTGGTAAAATAAAAAGTTATATCAAAAAAGAAAAAAATAACTATGATCCCTATAATAATCAATGAAAAGTGTAAATATGAAACTGTAATAGGAGAGATAAAATCGAAAAAATTTAATATCCCTAATTAATCTCCACGTTAAATGCACGTAATTCAAAAGGCATGAGAGAGGAAAATCTGAAAAAATAAATAAACTTAAATTCAAAATTAATTATTTTGTTATGTATGTAATTTAAAAATTCTGTTTGTAATTAAATAGAAGTACATTGATATTTTGTTAATTAAAGTCTTAAGTAGTATATTTTTGTAATTTTCACAATACAAATAATCGTAATTGAAAATATTAGATTTTTTTCCATAATTTATTTTTGCTTTGATTGGTGAACATATAAACAAGTCATAAACTAACTGATTTAATGTGTTTTTCATGTTATTAGAATAAGAAATAATCATAATAATAAATATTAAAAATAACATACTTTTTGACATTGCGTTGTTATTAAGCAAATAAACAAATAAATCCTCTTTCAATTCTACCCAAAAAAATATTATTTTCCAAATGTCTATTTCAGTTTGTAATAATACAAGAAAAGGAAACTGCTTTTTTCTTGTCCCTTCAAGTATCAAAATTAGATAGAAATATAAAGTATTAGGAGTATCTTTTTTCTCATACCAAAATTACTATTTTTGAACGTATAGAAATATATCAAAGAAATATTGAGAAGAGATGATTAGACAAGACATAACGTAGCTTATCGAGGACTTAATGTTAGATAAGAGGGTATGGAGGTTCAGAATTAGAGTAGACGGTTAATAAGGAGTAGAGTGTTGTTTAGAACCGTATTTATATTGTTATTATTGCTCAGCTACATTCTATCTTTGTAAGTCATTTT